TAAAATGACCGCGTGTAGCGCCTGTGGTAAATCGATGGAACGCAACAACTGAACTGATATACTGTAGTGCGTAACTATATATGAAGAAGAAAAACCTTTAATAGGGCTCGTGTAAACATGAAAATGATTCAAGTTGTTCTATTGATTTATCCAACGGAAGTTAATTATTAAGAGCGAAAAGTCAGACTAAATACGTTTGAAGATCAACCATGTTAACTTTTACTTTTCTTTTCAGTCGGGAGGAGCTTTCCTATATTTCCTCGTCGATCTTTCTGAAATTGGATTTTACTACTGAGGTGGCGTTCATCTCTTTCCCCTATTGATCGAAGAACGAGTTGTAGCCAAATGCTTCGATTCACAGCGACCTTTGGAAAATCGAACAATAGTTGGTAAACAATGTTCCCAACTAAAGCTTGTCTAATTAAATCGATAAAAATTTCTCAGATTTGAAATTCAAATACAATAGAGTGGGAAAAATGTATGCTAGTATTATACTATGGAAAAAGGTGACGTGGCCTTTATGATACTGTGGTACCATCGTCAACCGATCACATTTTTATCTTGTGTCGAGGTGTTTCAGTCGAAGGCCTTTATTTTTTTTTAATGTTTTTACTTTTCGTCTTAAATCTTTGTACCTAACAACGAGAAAATAAGTGGAGGGACTTCGGCACGGATGACGTAAGCACGGCCGAAGTACGACCCAAGTATTATTTGCACGAAAATTCCTTTAGAACTGAGCCTGTAGTTTCTTTTTGTGCAATTTTAAGGCTGGATTTTATTGTTGTCAAAACGCTGATCTGAAAGAAGTCAGACCATCCATTTCATACATTTTCAGCAATTATTACTTGTTACGCCACCGATCGTGATAATTATAAAACAAAGGCAGAAGAGAGATGCAAGACTCCGCCATTTTTTGCTCGCCCCAGTTTCCAATCGTTTCCTGAAACTTGCTGTTCACTTAAATATTGCCTTTTCCACTTTTTTTCAGAGCGTCATGATTTTGCTTTCATCTACGGCGTTTAAACGCGGATAAATGCTTCAATTGACAAGTGATAATGCAACCTTTACTCGAGGATTGGAAAGAAGAAAACTTTGTCACGACTCGGTAGTCTACGTCATACTTCATGTCGATATTGACAAGTCCGGATATATAAATTCTTTTGCGACAGACAAGAGATTTATAACTTAAAATAGTTTATTCTTTGAATTAACAAGTAAAAATGATTCACAGCAATTTCTGGTAATGGTTTAAGAAAAACCAACAAAGCCCTCAAACTAAACACTGCTTTTGAATATACGCCGCATGAAAAACATTTCTAGAGTTCAATGTACGCCGCGGCGTTTAAACGAGGAGAATACGGTGACCGACATCTACTTTAAACTAGTGAGAAAGCGTGCTGGTTAAATATCGTTTTTAATATTTATCTGAGATTTTTCTGCTATCTTTATGCTCCCGACCTAACTTCCTGCAACTCGAAGTACATATCTTGAAAAGTCACTGCGGAAAGATGGGTTTTGAGCGGATAATGAACCCATGGGGCAAAAAAAAAATATAAATATATGTATCATAGGGAAGCAAAAAAGCATTTTCACTCGCGGTGAAAATTATACGGAGAGCGAGCTATTATTTACAAGGCGACAAATTGTAGAATTTCATGCTTACCGTACTTTATTGAGTAGCACCCGCTAGTATAGCTTCGTTTGGTATATCATATTCGTGTAGTGAATTAGCATTTGTGTTGAAAACGTAAATTGAGTCAATCCATCGTTCGGTCAAGGTGTTTATGGACACTAAGGCAATTAGATGTGTTCAGTCAAATGTTCAGACTGCCATCTGGGGTCATCATATGATCTGCAACAGCATCTAGGCCAGTAGGTGCAAATTGACTGTATCAATGCTTGGGTCACCTAGGGACAGTTGTGTAAAATAAAATTACTGACACACGTACAAACTGAACGTTAAGTGACTTGAACAGTGCACAACTCAATGAAACAGACAGGCTATGTAAGGCTCGACGATTTTCAATGTTTTCATTGAGCATACTGGGAATGGGAGGGGGCTGCGGGCATTGGAGTCTCAGCTTGCCAGGACTTGAGTTATAGCCGTTTAATCCCATGTAGAGCCTGTTATAAAAATAATCATGACTACCCACCCTTTCAGTAGTTGATTTATAAAAACTATACAAAAAGCTAAATTATACATGCATTTTGATTGGTTCTTATTCATGATGGGACAGGTGCATGCACATAGATGACATCACCATTAACAATACTGTGCTTGTTTATTATATAAAACAAATACAACCCATCCTGCCAAAGGGTTAGTTTAGTGATAGATCATAGCAGAAGTCATAATGTGATAAGAACACCACTGACTCAATCAGCTGTGCCTCATGGGCCACTTTTTTGTTCTTAACACACATTGACGTCCTCCAGTGATCTAATACTGAGCAAACACGTGGCAAGACAACCGAGTCTATGTGTAATTAGTACTTAATTAGGATGACCATTGCATGATCCAAAAAGTAAAAGACATTTTAATTTATTGCCCTTGGATGGTTCACTATTCTGTCTACAGTCTGCTGACGTATTTCACTAATTTGTTCACTCAGACAAAGCTCAGATACAGGGACTCAATATGATCTGTTGCACTGATGTTTAATTGCTCAAATGAGTCAGACAGATTACACGAACCAATAAGAAAATTAACGCAGCTTAGGGATTGACGACTGAAACTTTACACATGCTACCTCAAGTTCATTTCAAGGAACCACTCAACAGTATGTTACTAACTGAAGAAGAAACAAATCCTAACCCATAAAGCACATATCACTCTTGATCATGACTCTGCTCCCACATTTATTTCCTGTTGAGTCTGTGAACTTAATTAATATATGAAATGAGACATAATATTGTATGAAATATGGTGCTTTTAACAGGAAGACCTATTCACTTCTGTCATCAGGTGATCATGGTCAGTATGAGAAATGCAAAACAAATCTTGATATTTGCAGTAATCTTCCATTAAAATTAAATTCCTCGAGTTGACAGATCACCCAAGTATAAAATAAGTGTCACTCTGTAGTAATTGCTGTGATTTTATTTCAACATTTTAATTACACAAATGACAAATTTGAAGTATAAATTTCTAAAAATAAGGATGAGGGGAAAGCCACAGAATTATTCCAAGCAAGCCAGTTTGATATTAACAATATTTCTGTGAGGGTCACAATTATGTTATTGCGTTAATTACTGCCAAAACAGCCACATAGTCTAGTGGGCTAATTCTTAAAAAAATGTTTTTTATGTTGGTTCCCTTTAACAAGACCACAATTTTCTAAAAAAAGAGTATAAATAACAAAGTCTTTTGTTAAAACTTCCGTTCTAACACATTAGGAAATAAACGTCTCCTTTGGGGTCCACTTTGAGCGCATGATTGCAACGTGGTCTGTAACGTTTATAAATAAATATTTTCACTATCGATTATATTCTTGCCTGCTGTGATACAACTGAGATTATAACGTTTGCTGAAAAGCGTTTCTCGAGAAATTTTCGTCAAACCCGAAACTTGAGAATCAATAGCAAACAGATGAAGCGTGTTCTAGTATTACATCACAGTACAAGCGCAACCTTTGAGGTCATTTCTTCTTGGAGACGTTGGTGGTCTTAATCCGCTCAAAATTGCCTCATCGAAAACTGATTTCAAGTTCTTCTGAGTCACTGCTGAAGTTTCAATATAGCAAACGACCCCTGCCTTCTTGACTAAGCTCTCGGCTTTCTGCGGCGTTATAGGTCCTTGTCCAAGATCAGATAGCCGTATTAGCTCTTGAACGTTCGCTCTCAAATCGCAATGCGTTCCAACTAGGATGACAGGAACATTTGGCGAATAGCTACGTATTTCAGGGAGCCATTTTTGCGCAACGTTTGCGAAAGATGTTGGCGAAACTACGGAAAAGCAAACAATAAACACATCTGTTGACGGATAACAGAGCGGCCGGAGAGAGTCAAAGTCCTCCTGAAATTTGCAAAATAGACACATAATATTCAACATAACAAATAGATAGCGCGTGCAAATTAAGACTCTTTCGCAATGTAAACAAACTCTGTTTTAACTTTGTGTCCTTTCTTGCATGACAGAGCAATTACATCACGCTCCTTGTGACTTGATCGCCGTGTTTTTAACCTCGTTCAATGTGTTAGCTTAATTGAGCATTAAATCAATATACAACGAAAGAATATGTTTCATTGAACCGAAACAGTTTAATAAATTTTTGAAGTTAAAAAATAAAAATTGCTCGCCCGTTTTGTAAACTTCTGCCACGAAACACAAATTCATCAGGCATTTTATCAAATGTACCGCAGTCTCTTACTTATTTAATTTTATTACAATAAAAAGATTACCACATAAATACAACAAATCTCACAGCAAGTAAAATCGAAAGAAATAATTTCAAAACAAAAGCGTATTACCTGTCCTGCGGTATCGCAAAACTGTAGCGTGTAGGGGACCTTATCGACTTTTACTGACACTGAAATAACAACAAAATAAATAATGCATGGCACGAAAATTATTTTCACCACAGAAACATGGCCATCAGGAGCTCATTCATAACCTCGACTTACCGCTGTAGTCGTCGAAAGCCGTCGGGATATAATCGTTGGGAAATCCGTTCATTAGATAGCTTATAAGTAAGGAAGTTTTACCAACTCCACCGTCACCCACGATCACACATTTTATGACTCGGTTCTCGGGTTCTTCCATGAGTAATTTTCTCTCATTACTCTCCATTTCGAACGCGCAACCGATGACATGCGTGTCGTGAAAATATAATGTTGATTCCTTATTCAGCAAAAACGGTTTTAATATAAGGAAACTACATTAAAATAGATTCAAAGGTTGCGTTCGTGGTAACTCGGGAGCTAGCGGAAGTGATGTCACTTTTAACATTGGGTTTTGATTGGCTGGTTGAAGATAAAGCTAAGTTTCGGTTTCCGGTGTTGTTTTAACCTTTCTCCTCGAGGAGATAGTAAGCTTGAAAACATGGCTTTTGTTTGAATTTAAAACAATTTCAATGCCCATCTTTTCAATGAGATAAAGGGCATTTTATTAAATTAAAATATTCGACTGCGGGAGTGTAAAGAGGATTGGTCAAATACTCCACTGAAGCTTTTTACTAAGAGTGGAAACATTTATTCAAAACAAAAACTACACCTAAGGAAACAAATAACATGATTTGATTGCTTGCGGACATGCTGTCTGAGCTAGGAAAACCACACAATAAGACCACGTGCCACGCGCGCGAAAATGAAAAACAAGATTACCATTGTGCTACAGGCAAAACATCCCAAACATATTTCTTGTGGAAAACATTACATGCGCTCAAACGCATTTTCTTAACTCGACTTGGTTGAATCTTGATTTCGGCCTCTCATAGTATGACCTTTGGATAGAGCAGGACAATATACGGGGCAGTGTACCTCTTCCCTTTGCAGTAAAAGAGTAGACATTTCAACATATGTATCGGTAATAGGCTTTGCACCAAATCAATGTACATTGTACATATGCACCAATGATTGCATTTATGGTTTTAAAACAATTGGAGAATAATGAAATCGTATTGAGCTTGGCGATTCTCAAGCGAGAAGCAACTCACTGCTAAAAGAATTGCGTTAAAAAATGAATTGGTTGGCCAGCAATCATGACCTATAATCAAATAAACCTACTAAATAACAAGGCACATGTTTACTGATTTACATTCAACCCGGCGGTCTAACGCCCTTGACAACATGAAATGTTTCCTTAAGGGAAAAAAAAAAAAGTTGTAAACAAACATTACTAATTCAACTGAAGCTACTAACTTATCTCAATGGCATAGAAGCGAACAAATTGATCTTTTTAGTATCTGTGATCACTTCAATGGAACCTTTAATGATAATGACCGCGATTTACTTCATCCAGATTCCTCCTTAATGCCCTTTGAGATCCTTCTTCAAACTTTGGCGAAATTACTTATCTTTAATTTTGTGAGCCAATTTTAAAATAACCCGCAATCCTAAAATCTTACTGCTAATCCTTTCTCTTTCATGTATAAGCTTATTTAAGAGAAAATCTTAGCTTAGTATGCCCTTTAATGGATAATCAACTCCTAAGAAGCAGGCTTCACTCAAATCTAATTAGTTAGCGTGTGAGACAAGGGCTTTCATTTCCGCATTACAGCTCAGCCTAAGCCATGGCAGATTATTTTTGCCACAACAAATACTTCTAAATGATAAAATGCCTGAGATATGCGGTCTCGA